ACCAATAGCGGTACCAGTTGTTTCATATCCACAGCCAGTTTCTGGACAGACACATAATTGGAGAGGAAGAGGACGAGAAGGCTTAGGAAGAGGAAGAGGAGGAAGATTTAAGCCATACTTCCAGCAATCTTCAGAAGTGTGTTATAATTGTGGACAAGGTTGGTCACTTTGCCGTGAGTGTAATGGGCCAGGAGGAAACATCAGAGGGAATTTCAGAGGAAGATACAGGGGCCAGTCAAGATCATCTGGAGGACAGGTGAACCCTTATAGGGGCCCGGAGCAAGGATTCTAGGGTTGCCCAGAAGATCCGAAAGGGGGGTGTCAGCTGGTAGCATCAGGACCGGAAAAAGATCCAACAATTGAGGTGAAAATAAACAACCGACCATTGGAAGTGATGGCGGATAACGGAGCTGCTTTTACCTGTGTTCGGCCTGGAGATCTCCCTATGTCCAATCAACTAATTAGGACAATTGGATTTGAGGGAGTGAAACAGCTGATTCCTCTTACGGAACCAATTGAGCTCTGCTATGAAAATCAGAAAATTACAATACCCATACTGGTATCAGAACATACACCTATTGCATTGTTGGGAAGAGATGCATTGTGTAAGTTGAACTGTACAATAAAATGTACACCAGACGGCTGTCTGGTAGAAGTGCCAAAGGAAAAGGTTTACCAATTGTTGATGACAGAGATGGATTCTTCTACATTATTCTGGATTGGAAATCTCAGTGAAGAGTTTTTGAAGCAGGCTAAGATATGGGAGAAATTCATTGTGGCAAATATGCCAGATGCGAGGCTTCCGGAATATCCATTTCATTGTACGCTCAAGTATTTCAAGAATGCTGCCCAATCGAACTCAGAGGAATGGTTGAGTAATCAACCAAAGAAAGTTCAACTCAGCTCATGTTGCATAATTTTAGGACCACAAGGAGCAGCTATTTACATTTTTTACATTTTTTGAATTTTTAGTCATTTAGCAGACGCTCTTATCCAGAGCGACTTACAGTTCGTTTATTTTTCATACTGGCCCCCCTTGGGAATCAAACCCACAACCCTGGCGTTGCAAACGCCATGCTCTACCAACTGAGCTACATCTATGAAGATCAACACAGACGATTATCTGGATAAAGAATTTGAGATTGAGAAGAGTGTGCCACATGTGACCTTGTTGGTTTCTGAAGGCTATGAGCAGAAGCAAATAGGAGAAATGATGACAGAAGCAGAGAAAGCTGTTTTCGTACCGATGAAAGAGAATTCGGCGATTTGGAGGAATGAAGATCAGGCGATTTCTCAAAATAATGATTTTGGCTCAAGGACAAGGAGAGCCACAAGCTGTACGGATGACACATGAATCTATTTGCAGTGTGAAGATGGATTCAGACCCTATGAAAGAGGAGATGTTGCAACAAGTTCAAGAATGTTTGTGGTCTCAACACAGTACCGATATTGGACTTGTGAAATCAGCCCAATTGAGGTGAAAGTTGAACTTCGACCAGGAGCCAGACCTCCTTGGAAGAATCAGTATCCATTGAAAGATGAAGCAATCGAAGGGATTGAACCACAAATTGAAGGACTTTCGAAAGCAGGTGTTTTGAAGACAATAAAAAAAATCCTCAGAGTAACAATCCTTTGTTGTCTTTGGAGAAACCATGAGGGGTTGATAGTAGCGCCTCTAGACCTATTAGGTCTGATGATTCAGGAAGCACATGGGTTAGCTAATGTTGCAAGGGGGGAGGTTAGGAGAAAGATCACAAAGGAGTATGGTTTTTGGGCACCATAATTGCTTGAACAGGTTGACTATGTCATAGGCAGGTGCACAATCTGTCTGAAAAATAATGTTCGCAGAGGTGTGACTGTTATTATTGGTTACATTCCTACACCAAGAGGTGCATAGGATGTCCAACTAAGCTAAAATATGCTCAATCGGTTGCCAAGTTCTTGTGTAAAGAAGTCATAAGCAGGTGGGGACTACCCGATCGAATATCCTCAGATAATGGGAAGGAAATTTGTGGATAAATCAGTGAAACTGATGTTGCAAAAATTGGGAATTAAGCAACGTCTTGGAGCAGTTTATCACCCACAAAGTCAAGGGATTTTGTGAAAAAATGAACGGTGTCTTGAAAAATCGCATTGTCAAAATTTGTCAGCATACGGGTCTAAACTGGATAGCGGCGCTTCCTTTAGCAATAATGGTGTGTCGCTCAAGTGAGTTGCGTGATCTACGTATGACACCCCATGAACTGGTAACAGGAAGAAGGATGCCTACGCCTTGTTTGCGAACAAGCGGAAAGGGTCCAAGCTTGGCTCTTTTGGAAGATGAAATGAGAGCGTACGTTACATACAGTGGGGAGAACAAGTATTTGATACACTGCCGATTTTGCAGGTTTTCCTACTTACAAAGCATGTAGAGGTCTGTAACAAAAATCTAGAAAATCACATTGTATGATTTTTAAGTAATTAATTTGCATTTTATTGCATGACATAAGTATTTGATACATCAGAAAAGCAGAACTTAATATTTGGTACAGAAACCTTTGTTTGCAATTACAGAGACCATATGTTTCCTGTAGGTCTTGACCAGGTTTGCACACACTGCAGCAGGGATTTTGGCCCACTCCTCCATACAGACCTCTCCAGATCCTTCAGGTTTCGGGGCTGTCGCTGGGCAATACGGACTTTCAGCTCCCTCCAAAGATTTTCTATTAGGTTCAGGTCTGGAGACTGGCTAGGCCACTCCAGGACCTTGAGATGCTTCTTACGGAGCCACTCCTTAGTTGCCCTGGCTGTGTGTTTCGGGTCGTTGTCATGCTGGAAGACCCAGCCACGACCCATCTTCAATGCTCTTACTGAGGGAAGGAGGTTGTTGGCCAAGATCTCGCGATACATGGCCCCATCCATCCTCCCCTCAATACGGTGCAGTCGTCCTGTCCCCTTTGCAGAAAAGCATCCCCAAAGAATGATGTTTCCACCTCCATGCTTCATGGTTGGGATGGTGTTCTTGGGGTTGTACTCATCCTTCTTCTTCCTCCAAACACGGCGAGTGGAGTTTAGACCAAAAAGCTCTATTTTTGTCTCATCAGACCACATGACCTTCTCCCATTCCTCCTCTGGATCATCCAGATGGTCATTGGCAAACTTCAGACGGGCCTGGACATGCGCTGGCTTGAGCAGGGGGACCTTGCGTGCGCTGCAGGATTTTAATCCATGACGGCGTAGTGTGCTACTAATGGTTTTCTTTGAGACTGTGGTCCCAGCTCTCTTCAGGTCCTTGACCAGGTCCTGCCGTGTAGTTCTGGGCTGATCCCTCACCTTCCTCATGATCAGTGATGCCCCACGAGGTGAGATCTTGCATGGAGCCCCAGACCGAGGGTGATTGACCGTCATCTTGAACTTCTTCCATTTTCTAATAATTGTGCCAACAGTTGTTGCCTTCTCTCCAAGCTGCTTGCCTATTGTTCTGTAGCCCATCCCAGCCTTGTGCAGGTCTACAATTTTATCCCTGATGTCCTACACAGCTCTCTGGTCTTGGCCATTGTGGAGAGGTTGGAGTCTGTTTGATTGAGTGTGTGGACAGGTGTCTTTTATACAGGTAACGAGTTCAAACAGGTGCAGTTAATACAGGTAATGAGTGGAGAACAGGAGGGCTTCTTAAAGAAACACTAACAGGTCTGTGAGAGCCGGAATTCTTACTGGTTGGTAGGTGATCAAATACTTATGTCATGCAATAAAATGCAAATTAATTACTTACAAATCATACAATGTGATTTTCTGGATTTTTGTTTTAGATTCTGTCTCTCACAGTTGAAGTGTACCTATGATAAAAATTACAGACCTCTACATGCTTTGTAAGTAGGAAAACCTGCAAAATCGGCAGTGTATCAAATACTTGTTCTCCCCACTGTATATGGCCAATTTTCATAAAAAGTTGTCCACATATGTTTCTGACAGGCAAAGAAAAGAAGAGGTGCAGGAGAAGCTTGGTGAGCAAAAAATGAGTACAGTGCAACCTGGGGACAAGGTGTTTGTGAAGGTATTTAGAAGGAAGTGGTATAACGAACGTCGTGAAGCACCATTTGAAGTTGTTCGTAGTACTGGAACAGCTGTCCAGGTTAAAGGGTCTCCAACGTGGTATCATTTGTCACATTGTGTTAATGCGCCTGGAGAAGAGGTGCCACGCGCAGAGAGACAGGATGTTGAAGGCTCAAGAGAGCAGGATGAAGATAGGGAGGAACAGGCAGAAGGAGAGATGCATGACAATATCCAGAGTGAAAACCCAGAAGGAGAGTTTGTCCATGTTGTGGACAACGTTGATGATAATGTTTACACTTCTGATGATGCCAGAGATGAGTCTGCAATGGATGGAAAGGAAAGGAGATTTGGGGACATTGATTTTCAATACGTCCCAGAAGCAACAGGGAATATTTCAGTGGAATGTGAAGCAGCGGAGATCACCAAGGGCAACTCTGTTACAGGAGAAGCTGGTGATTCGGTTAGACAAAGTAGGCCTAGACCAGTTAGGAGAAAAGTCAGACCAAAACATTACGAAAACTAGAGTTGAAGTAACTCTAGGAAAGTCAGCTCAGCTTCCATGTCAGTGCACGAGAGAGAACAGTGGTGAAGGGAAATTTAGAGTTCAGTGGGAAGATGGCTATGGCAGGAGTTTAGATCTGTTAGGAGCAGTTGCATTGAGAAAGTATGCGTTGCTGAATGATAAGAGAAGACTGAAGATTGAGGGTGATTGCAGTCTCTATGTGTACAATTCCCAGCCTGAGTGTAATTTGATCTTAATGAGGAGTTGAGTTGAAAGAAGATATTCTCATTAGAAAGAAAACATTCTCCGCTTTTCTACTGTAGGTATGTAATTCAAAATGTGTTAAATCTTTTGTTTTCATACAAAAATTTAAGCCAAACCAAATCCACGTAAAAGTATAAAAAATTTGCGGACCCCAGGTTGAATACCCCTGAAATAATCCAAAGATTGTTTTCCTTAATCCAAGGAGTTCTATGGGCCCGACCCCAAATCCTCCCCTGACTACGGCCGCATCATCAACCAGCGCCACTTCAACCGCGTGATGGCTCTACTGGATGGCTCCACAGCAGCTCTAGGGGGGCAGAGTGACGCGTCGCAGCGCTACATTGGTACGCAGACTGATAGGGCTCACAGATATTTGGTGATATATTTGTAGTTGGCAGACTTGGGTTTTAATAGTACTGTATTTGACCTAGGGTTGCAACATGACCAGGACATTTCCCAAAGTTCCAAGGTTTTCCAGATATCCCAGTTGGAGAATTCCAAGTTGGAGGATTCCTTACATGCTTATTCCCTCTTGATTCCAGGAATCTCCCAACTGGGCTTGCTCCAACTGGCAATCCTCCAACTAAGAATTTACCAATTGGGAATTATCCAACTGGTATTTCTCCAAGTGACATTTCTGGAATACCTAGGACTTTGGGAAAGTTCCAGAAATGTTGCAGTTGGGAATCCTCCAACTGGGATTTCTGAAACACTTGGGAACTATGCTTGGTCTGTCAACAACCCTGACCTCTGACCCCTCAGCCCCCACGGTGGTGAAGGACGTGCCCCCCCATGCTAGGCTGATGCAGGAGGAGATCTTCGGCCCCCTGTTGCCCATAGTGACAGTCAGCGACATAGACGACGCCAATCCACTTCATCAACGAGAGAGAGAAGCCCCTGGTGCTCTACGTCTTCTCCTCCAACAAGAAGGTAAGGTCTGGAGGGAGCTAGTGAGCCAGCTATGGACTAGGGCTAAGTCCCAAATCAACCCCTACGCCCTATGCCCTTGTGGAGATCTTAGAGAATTTAATTAGTATAAGCGACATGGTGAAACTTCAGTGGACAAGGTGGAGCTATTAAGATATTGCTTACATCTGTCAAATCTACTCAGATCTACACAAGTGGGCTTAGGGGCTGATTTGGGATTGGGCATGGGTCACTTTTAGGTGATCCCTTGGTGAAATGTGATTATACTGTAAGAAGGTAAGCTGTTACTGTGGCAACAACATTTGTACTTATTTTGGTATGTACAGTATGTATTTACATATTTCTGTCTATGTCAATAAGGTGATAAAGCGAATGCTGGCTGAGACCACCAGTGGCGGGGTGACGGTCAACGACGTTATGATGCACTACACCATCAACTCTCTGCCTTTCGGGGGTGTAGGTAAGAACTGTTTTATGATACTTTACGCATACGCCAATTCTTTGGGATACTGGCTAGCCAGACCTCTGGTGCATATAGGTAGGCATGCTAGCCGGTATTGGGTCGATGCTGGTCAACTGACGGCAGCTGCTATGATGGCATGCCACTGCCGGCCCGAGCTTCGGACTGAGTTGGAGGGTAGTTGGAGGTAGCACGTCCTTGGGACTGAGTTGGAGGGTAGCGCATCCTTGGGACTGAGTTGGAGGGAAGGCGTCCTTGGGACTGAGTTGGAGGGTAGCGCGTTCTTCGGACTGAGTTGGTAGGTAGCGGGTCCTTGGGACTGAGTTGGTGGGTAGCGCGTCCTTGGGACTGAGTTGGTGGGTAGCGCGTCCTTGGGACTGAGTTGGAGGGCACCGCGTCCTTGGGACTGAGTTGGTGGGTAGCGCGTCCTTGGGACTGAGTTGGAGGGCACCGCGTTCTTCGGACTGAGTTGGAAGGTAGCGCGTCCTTGGGACTGAGTTGGAGGGCACCGCGTTCTTCGGACTGAGTTGGAGGGTAGCGGGTCCTTGGGACTGAGTTGGAGGGCACCGCGTTCTTCGGACTGAGTTGGTGGGTAGCGGGTCCTTGGGACTGAGTTGGAGGGCACCGCGTTCTTCGGACTGAGTTGGAAGGTAGCGGGTTCTTGGGACTGAGTTGGTGGGTAGCGCGTCCTTGGGACTGAGTTGGAGGGCACCGCGTTCTTCGGACTGAGTTGGAGGGTAGCGGGTCCTTGGGACTGAGTTGGAGGGTAGCGCGTCCTTGGGACTGAGTTGGAGGGTAGCGGGTCCTTGGGACTGAGTTGGAGGGTAGCGTGTCCTTGGGACTGAGTTGGAGCGAACTGACCCCCCGCTCCCACTCTGACCCTAGCCCTGTGACCTCGGAACCCCACAGGTCAGAGCAGAACAGGCAGGTATCATGGGAAACACACCTTTAACCAGTTCAGCCACCATCGGGCGTGTCTGGTCAAGTCCCTGGGCATGGAGGAGGTCAACATGGCGCGGTACCCACCCCAGAACCGCCAGAAGGCTCACAGGGTCAGGCTGGCCATGAGGACCCCACTGGTCGACTTCTCTAGGAAAACCAACGTGTGGGCCGTGACAGCCACCGTCTTTGCTTTCGGTCTCTTGGTCACCTTGACTGCCATCCTGCTAATCGCTGGTGGCCTGAACTGCACCTGTTGGAGGGTCTGGCAAATCTGGCGCTAGCCAGTCTGTACTTGTATTGGCCAACGTACATTCAACAAAAGACATGTCCCTGTGCCTGTGTCTGGTTCCCCTGGCTTTAGAATAATATATAATGTATTTGTGTGTCTGTCACTGTGACTAAACACACAACCCTGGTAGTGCAAACCTCTGGCTGCTGTTAGTGGTTTCGGCTTGCCACCACCGATCCTCTGTAATGACGATGAGCCACTGACTTTGCTGATGGCGAGCTGTCGTATGCTTACTAGATGTATGGTTGTCTAATCTTCCATTCTAATCTATAGTTTCATTCTAATCTAACAGCCAATCTGTATTTCAGCTTTGTTCGTTTACATCTTGTTAAAGCACTGAACAAGATATAGAACCATCAGACTGCTTTCACATATAATATCACATATAAGAGGTTTGCTGGAATGGAAAGCAACATACAGTAGCTAACAGAGCATCCTTGATTTTGGACTAGGGATACAAAATTCCAATAACTTTCCCAAATGTACCAGGTTCTTCCGAAATCCTGGTTGGAGGATTTCGAATTTCCTGCTGCTTCCCTCCTTATTCTGGGGAATCTTCTAACTGGGATTTCTGGAAAGCCTGGGAAACGCTGCATGAACGTCATAACGTCTAATGTCTCTAACCCTTACTGACCGTCCCCTCCCCCGTACAGGTCAGAGTGGGACAGGCAGGTATCATGGGAAGCACACCTTTGACCAGTTCAGCCACCATCGAGCGTGTCTGGTCAAGTCCCTGGGCATGGAGGAGGTCAACATGGCGCGGTACCCACCCCAGAACCGCCAGAAGGCTCGCAGGGTCAGGCTGGCCATGAGGACCCCACTGGTCGACTTCTCCAAGGGCACCTACATCTGGGCCGTGACGGCGTCCATTGTGGCTCTGGGACTCCTGGTCGCCCTGACTGTGATTCTAATACTAGTGGCTGCACCTGTTGGTGATTGATGGATAGATACAGTGGAGTTAGGGTTGCATTTTGGTAACGTTCACAAAAATCCCTGGTTTTCCAGAAATCCTGGTTAGAAGATTTCGGATTTCCTGCTTCCCCTCTTATGATTAGGGGAATCTTCCTACCGGGTTTTCTCAGTAAAAACTGGGAATCTTGGGAAAGAGTCGAGACACCGTGGACTGTGGTATTAATACATGAATGTCAAGTCATTATGTGAGTATTATTGGTCTACCTTCCATGTCTTCATTTTCTATTATTTCTGTTATATGAATTTGTATCTAATTAATGTTTTTCCGTTGTTAATGACATTATATAATGCTATTCATGAAGTTCTCTCACTTAACCACAGTTCAAAAGATGAGGTAGACTAATCAATGAACTACTGTTGACAACCATGTTTTTAGTGCAGTAGGCCTGGTGTTCTGCTCACGTAAACCTTTGACAAATATGCCCCAGTGTTACAGAAATGTTGTTGCCTCTTTCCTTTAAAGTGGATGGTGGTATACTAGAGGGTAAAATGTCTGTGCGTAAAATGCAGCTGTCAGCGTTGTTTTTTATTCTCCTGCTACACCTGGTAGCCCTGCCCTGGTCTGAACAATAATGTCAATTCAATCTTTATTGTCCCATTCTGGACGTGCCTTTGTGTCTCTCCTGTTACAGTTGCACACATCCAGGTTGCTTCCCAAATGACATACTATTCCCGATATTGTGCACTACTTTTGAACAGGGCCCATAGGGCTCTAGTCAAAAGTAGTGCACTATATAGGGAATAGGATGCCATTTGGGATACACACCCAGACACATACAGTACACTTCTCCCCAGGAGAGTTCAGGAAGCGTTAAGTAAATGTATGGATATATATAATACTCAATATAACAGAAGACTTGCTTCACCTGCTGGGGTGAAATGTATGCCAACTATCTTTTATTTACATCACAAAATAGTATAATTAAGCAATAATGCCCGAGGGGGTGTGGTATATGTCCAATATACCACGGCTAAAGGCTGTTCTTAAGCACGACGCAACGCGGAGTACCTGGATACAGCCCTTAGCTGTGGTATATTGGCCATACAGTGGGGAAAAATAGTATTTAGTCAGCCACCAATTGTGCAAGTTCTCCCACTTAAAAAGATGAGAGAGGCCTGCAATTTTCATCATAGGTACACGTCAACTATGACAGACAAAATGAGAAGAAAATTGTAGGATCACATTGTAGGATTTTTTATGAATTTATTTGCAAATTATGGTGGAAAATAAGTATTTGGTCAATAAGAAAAGTTTCTCAATACTTTCTTATATACCCTTTGTTGGCAATGACACAGGTCAAACGTTTTCTGTAAGTCTTCACAAGGTTTTCACACACTGTTGCTGGTATTTTGGCCCATTCCTCCATGCAGATCTCCTCTAGAGCAGTGATGTTTTGGGGCTGTCGCTGGGAAACACGGACTTTCAACTCCCTCCAAAGATTTTCTATGGGGTTGAGATCTGGAGACTGGCTAGGCCACTCCAGGACCTTGAAATGCTTCTTACGAAGCCACTCCTTCGTTGCCCGGGCGGTGTGTTTGGGATCATTGTCATGCTGAAAGACCCAGCCACGTTTCATCTTCAATGCTCTTGCTGATGGAAGGAGGTTTTCACTCAAAATCTCACGATACATGGCCCCATTCATTCTTTCCTTTACACGGATCAGTCGTCCTGGTCCCTTTGCAGAAAAACAGCCCCAAAGCATGATGTTTCCACCCCCATGCTTCACAGTAGGTATGGTGTTCTTTGGATGCAACTCAGCATTCTTTGTCCTCCAAACACGACGAGTTGAGTTTTTACCAAAAAGTTAAATTTTGGTTTCATCTGACCATATGACATTCTCCCAATCCTCTTCTGGATCATCCAAATGCACTCTAGCAAACTTCAGACAGGCCTGGACATGTACTGGCTTAAGCAGGGGGACACGTCTGGCACTGCAGGATTTGAGTCCATGGCGGCGTAGTGTGTTACTGATGGTAGGCTTTGTTACTTTGGTCCCAGCTCTCTGCAGGTCATTCAGTAGGTCCCCTCGTGTGGTTCTGGGATTTTTGCTCACCGTTCTTGTGATCATTTTGACCCCACGGGGTGAGATCTTGCGTGGAGCCCCAGATCGAGGGAGATTATCAGTGGTCTTGTATGTCTTCCATTTCCTAATAATTGATCCTACAGTTGATTTCTTCAAACCAAGCTGCTTACCTATTGCAGATTCAGTCTTCCCAGCCTGGTGCAGGTCTACAATTTTGTTTCTGGTGTCCTTTGACAGCTCTTTGGTCTTGGCCATAGTGGAGTTTGGAGTGTGACTGTTTGAGGTTGTGGACAGGTGTCTTTTATACTGATAACAAGTTCAAACAGCTGCCATTAATACAGGTAACGAGTGGAGGACAGAGGAGCCTCTTAAAGAAGAAGTTACAGGTCTGTGAGAGCCAGAAATCTTGCTTGTTTGGAGGTGACCAAATACTTATTTTCCACCATAATTTGCAAATAAATTCATAAAAAATCCTACAATGTGATTTTCTGGATTTTATTTCTCAATTTGTCTGTCATAGTCGACGTGTACCTATGATGAAAATTACAGGCCTCTCTCATTTTTTTAAGTGGGAGAACTTGCACAATTGGTGGCTGACTAAATACTTTTTTTCCCCACTGTATATCACAAACCCCTGAGGAGCCTTATTGCTATTAGAAACTTGTTACCAACGTAATTAGAGTAGTAAAAATACATGTTTTGTCACACCTGTGGTATATGATATACCACGGCTGTCAACCAAATCAGTATTCAGGGCTCGAACCATCCAGTTTATAATGTCTG